CACGATTCAGAAAGTAAGGCAGCGCTGCTCAGGTAAATACTCTCCTATACGCCATGAAACGTGAGGCGCAGGACTTTCTAGCCCCTCTCAAGCTCAGTGACGAACAGAAGCTCCACTACGAGCTTGTAAAGAATGCCTTTGAAGGACATTTTATTCCGCGGCGACACATCATATACGAGTGAGCTGCGTTCAACCGCCGAAAGCAAGAGTTTCACGAGACAGTCGAAAGTTTCGTTACCGACCTCTTCAAGCCGGCAAAGAGGTGCCAGTGTGGCGCCCTGAAAGACGAGCTTATCCGGGACCGACTCGTGGTAGGCCTCCTCGATACGGCTTTCAGCGAGAAGTTGCAACTCGACTCCGCGCTTACCTTCGAGACCAGCCTGTTGTTCAAAGGCAATCGACTCGTCATAGTGGAAGCCCTACGCTTCTAAATCCTTAAGAAGCTTCACACAGGTCACCAGGGTGTATCCAATGGCCGCGACAGAGCACGGGAATAAGTGTGGTGCCAGGCATTGGCCTCCACATCGACAGCTTCTCCCGAAGGTTTGTCAATACCACCGGAAACCAGGTCAGGCTCCGTTTTTGGCGACTCCACTGCCAAACTTCCCTGAGGAAGTCGTCAACATGGACCTTTTCGTCAACGAAGGAAGGAACTACTTGATTACTGCGGATTACTATCCATACAACTTCAAGCTGGTACCATTGAGGAGGACGACGACCAGGGACATCATCGCCGTCCTCGACCCAAATGCTTTTTTTATCGAGTGATTGAACATAACTTTTTACCCATTTCTCAAATGCCGTGTGTATGAAACCTATTTTTAAATTTTTACACTAATCTGTTGTTTCAATAAACGCAATTAAGCATATATGTAGATTGAAGTATGAGTACGAATTTAGGCATGCCCATGAATTTAAGCAGGCGTTTAAATTGTGTTATGAGTATTCTTGCAATATTGTCTATTGTGTTGTACTTTACCGAAAGAAGAAAACACTCTAAGCCTTGTAAGTACGAGTGAAATTAAACAGTGAAGTGAATTAAATTAAAAAAAAATTACCAAACTCCCGGGGTGAATCTCTCTTCCTCAAACAGTCCTTCTCAATACGGAAGACGCTTTGAGAAGCGCGATTAAGCAAAATCACAATGAAAAAATCAAAAGGTTACACCTTCGCTTATGTTGCTTGCGGCTGTGCTAAATTCGTGCATTATTTCGCACATGGTGGGTGATTCTGCAAAAGAATTCTGAAACACCAGGGTGGGATTGTAAGAATTTCTCGCGCATAAATTGGTCGGAATATTATCACTAAACAATCAGCCGCTTACGATATCCTGCTAGTTATAAGGAGTCTGATTAGTTTAACAGTTGCCTATTGATTTAGTCGTTGAGTCAAAATAAAATACCATTGGTAGGGATTTTCACTCTAGTTAACCGTGTTCATATGTTGCCGAAACTTTGAACATTATTGCGATGGTTCTGATCGCTAAACAAATGGTTGATATCGCGATGATGGGGTGGTCATTTTTGAATTACTGATGTCTAGAATATCGCTCGAAAAAACTGAGAATTGCTATCAGTAAAGAATGTTATCAATAAAAAACGCACCGAAAATACGAAACTGAAGCCCTAATATATAAATTTGTGCCTGCAGTGAATTCGCTTGGAGTCCTGCGTCCTCTGTGAGTATTGCGATGTATTGCATACAACTACTTTCTTATTGCTATGGGTCCGAAACATACCTACTGGACACTTGCGGAGCCATTGTGGACGGCCACACGCGCACATCTTGTGAAACGTGTTGTGATCTGTAGCGTTTGTATGACATTATCTCTTTCCCCCGTCGATTCACCCAACTGCTTTGACATGTGCATCTTCTTAAGGCCACATGTTGTATTCCTTTTTTGTTATTTTAAGGTTGTGCTGCTTAGTTGTGCTGTTTGGACGTTGTTTTGTTTTTGGCACTTTCCGCTCTGTCGCTGTTCCATTTTTATGCGTTAATATTTTTTTTCGCAAGTTTTCGAAGCATGCTGTCTTGTCGCTGTGCTGTTTTGACAGCATATTGTTTTTACATGTGACTTCTTGACAGGGTAGTTTTAACCGTGCTGCTTTGTCTTGTGCTGTTCGGTCGTGGTGCCAACTTAGCCAGAAGTTTAGAGACAGTACTGAAAGCAGTTCGTATAACTTGTAGTCCCAAGCATATAAAACGTTTACCCATATGTATATGAAGTTCTTTTGAATTTTGTACACTATAAACAGCAAAACTTGAAAATCATAATCTTTTTTTTATTTCACGTCAAAACGTTTAGCTTTACATCAATATTAGAGTAAGATTGAACTTTGCATAAACATCACTATAACGAGTTATTCTGCATAATATATTTTTCAGATCTACTTCCTCGCTGATAGTTTGTGCCCCAGTTCTTAATTGTTCTGAACCGGAGGCAAACTTAGTGTGGTATGAAAGTTAAAAAAGCTAAAAATCAAGTTTTTTTTTCCTAAAAAAAGATTACGTAAACGTCCATATTATGTAAAATAGTTTTTTTCTTAAACAAGTAAACAATTTGTAAACAACAACCAAAGTTAAAAAAAAAAAAATTCAGTGGGGATTTCAACGGATTCCACCATGTGATGATTTAACTTGTTTCGCTACTTAAAAAAACGAATACCTTTTTAAACCCGTTTCATTCGTATCATACATCGCATATGATCACGTAATCTGATGTCTCTCACAGATTTGTTAACAAATATACGAAACCCCTCCACAAAGTTGTTTGAATTCAATTACTCGAGTGTATAACCGGTTGAATGTTTAGACAAATGTGAACGTAGTGATGTCTTACTGTGAAAATAATTCCACTTTCAGTAGCCTTGACTTTTATATCTATACATAATCATAACTTCAAAGAAAATTATTTAAAACATCTTCAGATTTTGTAGTAGTTACGTCAGGAGCACCTTTTGGGGTACTGGTGACACGGAATTTAAGTAAAATACAAAATTGCGGAGAATTGATATAGATTTTTGTAATGACGTATTCGACACTATTGAGGAATACTATTCTGTTCCTATATTTTTTTTTACTCTTTTAGCTTCACGTTTGACTTAATTACATCTAGATTAAAAAAATAGACAACTTTTTCGCTCTAAATGATTTCACTGGAGTGTACTATGAATTTCAAGAAGTGTACTTTGAGCAGTATATGAAGTCGCACGATAAGAGCTTTATTTGACTTCATCACTAGTCAAATACGCATAATCTAAAACCAATATATAAAATAAAACTATGTGACAAAAAAGTAAGTTTAGTATGTTTCGAAATAATTGCATGTGCTTTAAAAGAGTCCGGAGTTTTTTTGTTTGTTTTTCTTATAAATATTTTTTATCGCTCTCCGTACTGTAGTGACTGAGTGTGTAAACATGCCTCTTGTGTTCACGCTTAGTTTTTTGTCTGCCAAGGCGGCACTATTTAATGGGATTTGAAGCAATTCTGAAGTGCTCGGAACCCTGCGTGTCTCTCAGTTATTATACATTCATTTACAACAGTGCCATCGACAAAGCAAGAAACTACCTGGTTTGCGACCCCTAAAATGTCAACAATACGAGTCGTTCGTCAGAGAGGATAATACTCATATATCACCGGAGCGAAGGCACGACTATCAAACACGTTGGCGGAGTAAAAAAGCGCAACATCAAAGTTTATCACAGTTGCTCTTGACTCAACGGCCTCAGGAAGCTAGCAAACGAAATGTCCAATCAAGCTTAAAAGGAGCTCGAACTGATTTCCAGAATGCGCCTCAGTAGGCATTACAACGGTTGGTTGTGCCCCAAAAATATGAGTGCTGCTTTTTTATTATTAGGTTCATAAAATACTATACTGGACTTTTTTTTATGTAATAAAATATTTGTGTCATGCTTGAAGAGGTTGCATTAAGTGTTCATTAAGCTGAAATCAAACGACACCAATTATATTTCATGCTGCCTTAAAGAAGTATTGCGAGGCGATTTTCGCAATTACCACTAGAAGCCTTTTAAAGTGTAATAAAAATTCGCACTCTAAGAAAAAGAAAAAAAGAAAAGGAAAGAAACACAGAAGAAAAACGAGGGAATTGATAAACATGGGGGCCTACAATTTTAAACCATATCGAGGGTGGCACGTTTTCACACTCGTGAAATAAAAAGCTAGTTCGCGAAATACACTATATTTTCTTCTGGTCTGCCAGGAATACCAATAACGTACGGAACGATTGGCGTCAAAGTTGTCACTATTTATATTATTTCATTCCCACCATTTCTCCTTTCTGTGTAAAATGTGATAGGTTTTGATATGGAAGCTTTGCACACATTCTTCGCCTCATCCTTATATGGAGTGCACTTAAAGCAGGAAGCTGCTATGTCCAAACACGAGCCAGCTAGAAACCACATGATGTATTGCGGCAGGCATGCGTGTCGTCGGAAGAATACACCTAGGGGTTTCTGGCTGGCTAGTGATTGAGTCTATCTACTAGTATCTGTAACTGCAGCTCATCCTAGGTTAATACGAAGTATTTTATGGGGATATTTAAATTTCTTGGAGCATGCGCATCAAGTTATTGCCCTCCAAAAATAAATAGCGTTTTTGTAGCGTACCTTTATAAGCCATATAATATTTCGAAATTTATACACATTTTGGAATTTAATGTTAATGTTAATAATAAGGCTGAAAATATTGGTACTAACGTTTACTTACATTTAAAGACACGGCGAAGAAGCGTGAGGTAAAAATGTTCAACATAAAGCTTTTTTGGAATGCCCCGAGCCCAATCGGGCAGTGCATGAATGACTTCCTTTCAAGTTGAGAATTTCATTTTTTTTTACTCTGCGTTTAACTTAGCTGAAAAAAAGGCAGCTCTTGGCGGCACGTAAAATGTGGAGAAACAATAATCTGCAGACCATTTTACCACCCAAATGAATAAATAGATAAAAAAAAATATATAAAACCTGCTGCTCTGTGCTCCCTCCCAGGACGACATGGTGTGCCTGCAGTGCATCGCCACCGGCACGCGGGTCTGCCTGGCGGCGGAGGGCTTCGGCAATCGCCACTGCTACCTGGAGAACATCGCCGACAAGGTATGCTCAGTGTGCACCTTAAAGAAAGATGATGCTGGGATTTGTGTTTCTGTCACCCTCCAACCATTCGAAATGCTCTGCCCTATAGACTGTTCCGAAACTACGCAGCGCCCCCAATCGTCTCTTCGACGCACTACGGCAATCCGATGTACAAGGAGTGGAGTACTCGTGAATAGAAGGAGCGGCTCATCCTGATTTAGCATTTTGTGATTTCTGGAGGCAAAGAAAGCAGAACCATTACCAATCGACTCTCTGATGCGGTCGCCTGTTTCCATTTCGCGTTCTGAACTCGTAGAGGTAAGAGACAAGGAAATGCGCCTCTTCCACAATGTACAGAACGTATGAGCCAGCCCGGGCCTACGTCTGAACGGCATCTGAATTTCCCGCAACGTAAGTGAGGTCGACGAGGGCTCTCGCGGTATATCCTAAAAAATGACCACACGGTGCGTTGCCTCACTCGCAAATTACATTCGTGTATCCAGTATCCCATTGACGTCACGTCGCCAATTAGTTTAAAGGCAACAATATTTCTTACGTTTGGTAAATAAAGCTTAAAATTAATTATCATCGTTGATAAACTGCGCATCACGGTAAAGGTTTTCTTTCCATGTAGATCCACTAGATTGACGCGGCGCAAAGTTGGGCGAGTGTGTCGATCATCTTACAGGGTGGGAACAGCGCAATTTTATTTAGGACAAGAAACAAGCAGTGCAAGGACGCCGCGCTATCAACTGAATGTTTAGTTCTCAGCCAACCAGAAAAGAGAAAGGAAAAGGAGACTCTGATAACCGATACCAAAGACCACATCGCACCAAATCACTTTCACACAAATCTGCCACTATTCTTAGTATAACGCACTTCGTCAACCCCACCCTCCCCATAAGACGAATGTGTTATACTTCTCGTCAGCTTAAGTCGAGACGCAGCCGACACCACCAGGTAATGGGACCAATGAATCAGCGTCAAAAGCGCAAGTCACTGGGCCTTTTCCACTTATGATTAGTTGAGCGGCGATAGAACGCGTACAGAAACATGACCAACACCGGGATGGGACGCTTTTGTCACTGCCTGATTGGTGCCTTCAGCTCGTAGCATCGTCTGCGTCTGGACTTAAGGTAAAACCAAGCATAGACCAGTGTCCGAAATCACATTCGCCAGCGATAAAAATGAAAAATAATAATCTCAAGCGCAGGGTTTTGTGGAGTGAAAGGCTGCGCATAAAACAAAAGCAGGATTTTTTTCTTTTTACGGCACTCTTGGCATCGGTGTGGTTCTTGGAACTTCGTGACTATGTATTTCTGACGTTCTCCACTACGATATGTGCGAAGGTTTCTAAAGAAAAAATAAAAGCCGTTTACAACTCCCTGTAACGCCGAATTAGAGCGCAGCTCTTGAGGAGGAGGAGAGAAGGGTACCGAGAATCACGTGTTCTCGGGTGTTCACGGGGAGGGGTGTTCACGTGTCCTCAGGAGAGGGGGGTCACGTGACCTCAGGGGTCACGTGACCCACCAGGTCACGTTACCCCCAGAAAAAGTTTTTCGCTAAATGTAGCGGGGAAATTTTTCCACTAGATTTAGCGGGGAAATGTTTCCGCTAGATTTAGCGGAAACATTTTTCCGCTAGATTTCCCTGCACAGCCCCCCCCCCCCCCGTGTCATGGCGTAAGCACAAACAAACATGGCAGTGCTCATGGAACAGAGCAAACATTGGTCTATAGCGCACCGTCGGCATCCCGGTGTGTAAGGGGGGGGGGGGGGGAGGGTGGCTGACGAAGTACGATTCGTCAACAAGTATCGCAGATTTGTGTAATAATAAAAATAATAACAATAATAACAATATTAATAATAAAAATAATAATAGTTTATTTCTCATTAAAGTTATGAAATTGCGGCCTGCTAAAAAACCTGAAAGGAACAGCTTGGCGAGCCTCCAGCCTCCTGGAATGTCAAAACAAACGGCAGCAAAAGAAAAAGAAACAGGAACAAAAGGTCAATCATGAACGCATTTTTAGCATCAACTCTAGAAACTTTGCAGTTGTTTAACTACGCTTCAAATCATTATTTATAAAGCTGTTGAGTAAATTCGGTAGAGCGTATGTGAGCATTTGTTTACCATAATTTGTTTGGTTAGGAATCATCCTCCAACATTCAGTGTGCCGAGTAGGACATGCCTGAATACTTATGGCCAGGGTTGAGAAGTCAGCTAGAAAGCTGGAATTCCATTTTTTTTTACTCGTTTTGAAACAAACGCTCAAACAGTAATTGTATAGGTTTTCGGCAGTAATAATTGTGAAGGGTGTAAACAAATCAGCAGTGTGAAAGTCATACCGAACGTGAAAGTGAAATGGCACGATGGAAGTTTTTTTTATCGGTTATTTTGTTCCTTTTTTTTCCTTTCTGATCCCTCCCTTTTGTGTTTACTTTTCTTGTTCGCTGGAAAATAAGCCTTGAGTCGATAGTCAGCCTTGTGGCCGTGCGCTTCTTGTTTCCTGTTTTTTGTGAAATGTCGGTTTTCCCACCCTGTAAGTTACGATTAGCTCAATTGTAGAACTTCCGCAGAAGGAAGTACCCCTGTCACCTCCGTCGTTTCAGTGCCATCAAGATTTTTGTTTCTAAACAACGTGTTCTGTACAGTAGGGTGAAACGCCGTCTAGACGTTGTTCTTTGAAACAAATGTATTTCATAGAATTGCAGATACCATAGCAGCCGTCCCCAAACAAGGTGTCGCCCAAACTTGGGAGGGGGGGGGGGGGGGCGTGCCCGTGGGGGGGAAGGGTGTGCTACTCGTGGAAACAGAATCTATGGTCAGTTCCTTAGCTGCGCTAATCTAGCAACGTTGACGAGAACTCGTGGCCACGTGATCTGGATTCGGTTATAAGCCGCCAATATTCAGCGTAACCACGCGCTGAGGCTGAAAAAGCATAGGGGATGTGGCGGGCTCCAGACATTGCTAGGTTTCCGATAGTGCGTCATGGCACCGACTGTACTCAAGTTTTCACCCAGGTATACGTTTGGGCCGAAATTCGTTTTTGGTCTGGGAGTTTAGATTCTTATAAATAACTAAGATGACACAGTATACTCAAAACGTTTTTTTTTTTTTTTTTTTTTTTGCCATTGTTTGGATATTTCTATTTTAATTGACCAAACAAACGCCAGGCTTTACAATTTTGCCATCTGGAATATTTGGGCCCATATTGCAACCAAGTGCTAGAGATATGCTCCACTTCCGATTGTTCGGTTTTCATTTAGCAACTCTGGACCTAAGCTACAAAACAAGAGCCAGATTTAGGCTTTGTTGTTGGTTTTTCGGTTAATATGTGGCACCTTTGGCTCAAGTCTGACCCTTTGTAAATTAGGTGGCGAGCTATAGGAGGAAAGCAAAAAAAATTCCAAAGAAAGGTATTCTTGCATTAACTAACGCCCCAAGGCAAAATCGCCCCGGGCCCCTAGGGTTTCCAAGCTTGTTAAGCGTTTCTCTGGCATGTTATCTTACCTTACCCTGCATGCTGCATGTTTCTTATCCCGCAGCGTGCACCACGTGACACTGAGAAGAGTGCGTAAAGCAGTCGCACGCCTAGAGCCTAGTCTACTGCCAGTTCCCGGAATTCATTTCGGCGCCGCGTACGGTGCCTCACGATTTTCAAAAAGCTCATCCATATCCGTGGTACAGAATGTGTTACCGCGTGAGGCTCAATGTATGGCTACCCATAGTAGCCTCTTTACAAGCACGTAGTTTGCAGCACTTGGGAATGTCGATTGTAGAAAGCGGCTTCAGCCGTGTTATAGGAACCCGATAAGTGTCCACTCGCGATCTTTTTGCGCTTTTTGCTTTTTGCCACATTGTAGATTATTTCTGGCTTACAAAATTATTTTATCATATCAGTGTTGGGAAGTAATTTAAGCACAAATTGAAAATAAAGTAATGTTTCCAGTAAGTGTAAAATATGTGTGCCAATTAGCACGTTTTCTGAGTGCGTAATTGTTCTTTACTTAAAGTGTTTTTTTTTTTTTATACTCAGAAACTCACAATTTTAAGACCCATTCCCTGAATTTGAAAAAAAGCCGTATCGTCATGTGTAGCGCGCTATCGTCTTTTCAGACGTCATCTAGTCATTTCTCCGAGTGAGGTAATGAAGGGTATAACACAAAAGGCAAATGAGTGCCTTGTAAGTTCATTGTGGAGAGTACAAAAAATTAGCAGCAACATTGGCCTTCAAAGTTCTATAATGCATGAAATACAGTATAAGGAATTGGTGTGTAAATCGGTGAGTGACGCGAATTTTGTAAAACAAAAAGAAAACAATAAATTATTATTATTATTATTATTATTATTATTATTATTATTATTATATTTTCCCGCTAAATTTAGTGGCTAGCTCAATCGGAGTATAGGCCACCTAACGTCGATTTCCCGCGAAAGTTAGCGGGGAAACTGAAATTATGTTTTGCCCCCAATACGTTAATTTTGTTAAACTTGAGGAAGAAAACGTTTTCTTTCTCAATTTTAACTATCCATACCAACCCGCTCGTTCTGTCCCTATAACGATCATTTTCCGGCTAAATGTCGGGGGGAACTGTGTTGACCTATAGGTCACGTGGCGTCAATGGGTCTTTTCCGCAAATGTTGGGCGCCATCTATCGGCAAGCAGGGGAAACGTTTTTGATGGCCTGCCTTGCTTCCGGTTCTGCCCGTTCCAAGCTATGTTGGCTGTCTGAATGCGGTCGGGTAATGCGCTCAGCGTTTGTTTCTGCTCTATCCAACGGGATCGACGAACAGATTTGTTTTCTATTCATGCGTTAACTACGGATGACTTCGTCCGTTCGTAAATTTTTTCCGAATGTTCGGACGACGGCGAAGTCCGTCGTCCGAACGGGACGACGGACTTCGCCGTGGCGCCCGTTGTGACTGACGGCATAGTTGAAACTCTCTTCGACCAATGAGAAAGTACAAACAGTTATATTAAACTAGGATTCATGTTATATGCAGTACCAGCAATAAATTCAGAAAATATTCGAAACCAAGGTACAGTTAGAAAAAACTTTTTTTTAATCGCAAGTTATTTGTATAATGTGCTCGAAAATTTTAAATGACGAGATGTATTTTCATAATTGTAAAGGCTTACTCTAAAATCGTCCGATAAACTTGGTACCTGCACGTACAAATGTAATTTCCATCAAAGGTGTACTTTATTGGTGAAATTTTAACGCGTAGCTTCATTCCTATAAAAAAGGAGACCAACAAACTTGGCCGTTTTAACGGCGGACGCGTTCAGCGCCCGCCGCTGCCCTTGGCGAGTTGGTTGGTCTAATTTTTTACTGTGAGGAAGCAACACTTTGAAATTTCACAAGGTCAAATTCACCACTAAAGCGCATGTTTAATAAATATCTAAGATGTATACGTGCAGCCGCCGAATTCTGAGCGAGCCTCGTCATTAATGTTACCCCACTTCAGGCTACAGCTCTGTGGGACTAGGTCCTGGAGAAACACGAAATCGGCCAGACTTGTACTTTTTATTTTTTTAGTCTCGCGCCTGTAGAGAATGTTGCAAAACTTTTTTTTTTTACTCGATACATACTTAAGAGCAACACATCAAGACTATTGTTTGCTCTTATTTAACCACAAGACCAGCAGATGCGGTCGTGGTAGCGAAAGGGCAGTTCTGGGTGTGCACGTAGCAACAAACTGTGCAGCATAGCCACTTTACCTCAATGCTTTATAAATATTTGGAAACTGTGGGTGATTTCAATGTTTGCAACAACCGAAAATGCATACCAGCAGTTTGCGTAGCAACGCAAGACCGTCAGATTAATTTATTAGTAAACAAAAATGTGTGCCAGTGAAACGCACCATCCCAGAAACGCCAACTCCGAGACGCTCGCTCTGCGTGGCACATAAGCGACACGACAGCATACATAACCAATCTGTTATCTGCATGTATTTACATGTATTTAAACCCCCCAAAAAAATAAAGGAACAAAAACATGAACCTTCCTTGAAGTGGCAACTGCAAACGCGGGAGAGTTTTGGAGGCTGCATTTACAGACCGTCAGCATTGTTTCGCTGGATCGCCCGAATCAAGAGCTGCCGCTTCGTCGGGCGCAGGTTAGTAGAAGGAAACCCAAAGAAGCTTAAATCGCGTCAACGTTTACTGTCGTTGCTGCAGCCAACAACAAAACAGCGTTGGGGCATGTCGGAGAACTTTGAAACGCGCGACCACCGCTGCATGCCGCCAGCAGTCCCGAGCCGGACGCACTACGCCACCAAAAATGGCGGACTCCTGTCTGCTACTGCTGCGCATGCGCCGTGGAAACCCCGGAAAAGGCCCGTTTCCCCCAAAGTGTATAGGTCATGTGTAATCACGTGACGCCACATTTCCAGCTAAACTTAGCGGGAAATGCACGGACGGACAAAGGGAAGGATAAACGGACGGACGGACGGACATAGTTTTGGGATTAGGGTAGCGTTATAAAGCCATTCTGTGTTTAAAAAAAAGAACTACTCAGTGGCAATTTCACTTCATCTAAAATTCGCCGCCATTTCTGAAAGTACCTAATGCAGTCCCGATGACCCCTGGAGCAAGACATACCAATTAAAAACACAATATAGGGGATTAAAAGGGCATCAGGGGGACGATCGGTGGTCGAGTGGGCTAGCGCACACCAGCTCGGAGCACGTGGAGCAAAAGGTCGCGCTGCAGGACCTAGGGATCCTGGGCTCAATCCTCACCCCTGCCCGTCTCAATCTGGATGAGCATCGTACTTGCGTGCGGTCGTGCATCTCAAGTGCGAGGTCCACGTTGAAGACCCCAGGCATGCAGTTGTACTGCACTAGCTAAATCGCCCATCTACAGCTGAGAGACAATTCACCAGTTGAGGCAGACTAACTTCAGGCTTGTGGGAAAATTGTCTCGCTGCATACCCAACTCAGATGAACAACACGAAGTTAGAATTTCAAAAACGCCAAACTACAGTTAATGTTAGAACGACGGGACAGTTAGTCGAACATCGAAGAAGTCGGCGTACGACTGTCCATGGCCACCCGAAACCCAGAAGTCGCCGTGCCACCTGAGCTGGCGGTTTTTTATTATCCAGCCAACGCCCACTTGTTTCTCGTAGTTCGTGCTCGTATGCCTTGTGTTTCGCGCATGAATACGCAGTTTGGTGGCTACTGAACTGTGGCACCCATGCTAGTGTCGCTGTAAAAGCATCTTCACGCTTCGAGCCATGGCATGGTCAGCGGCCGCAGTTGGGTTCCGGCGGTAGCCGCAGGCGTCCATTTTTCCGTGACACTTCTCGGCCATACACAAGACGGAAGACAGGGTGTGTGGTCCCTGCCGCGTCGTAGTCGTGACCGTTAGGGAACCGGAAAGGTTGTCGCCTGGTCACCGTTCTGAAGTACCAGGCTGGCCCGGAGTCGCTCGGCACAGTAGAATCAGAAGACAACCTTCGTATAATAGAAAATGACCGCATCTCCACGTGATGAATGATGTTGATTGGGGTGAAGCTCTGGCGGTGCTCGTCTGCGTAGACGCCGAGCCGCAGCATGCCGAGCCTTTCGTTCGTTTTCATCCATGTCAGAAAAAGAATGTGTGGTATGGAACGTGGTTATATACGCATTTGAGCATTTGACCGCAGCGCCCTCTCGTCTATAAACCTCAAGCCAATGCACGCAAAGTTTAACGCGATTATATACGCATTTGACCGCAGCGCACTCTCCTGTATAGACGTTGAGCGGCTACATGCAACGTTTCATCCATGACATCCCCACCTCTTGAGTTACTACCACATCTCAGAGCCCCCTACTCGTCCCGCAGTCGTGGCCGAGTGGTTAAGGCGGTGGACTAGAAATCCATTGCGGTCTCCCCGCACTGGTTCGAATCCTGTCAACTGCGCAAACAATTTTTTTTTCATCATTTGTGTTTTTTTTTTTTTTTTTGCCCTACGCCAGCACGTGAGCTCACGAGCACGAGCACCAGCAAGATCGATGTGAACACAGACGCCGGACGGACAAGGCTAGACTTTAAGAAGCTTATCCCCTAAAAGAAAGATGATCAGAGAACCACTTGTCTTGCCTCATCATTGACCCCTAAAAATCAAACTTACTAGCTGAATTCAAGTGAGGCCAGCTCGTTCTCCCCCCCCCCCCTCTAAAAGAAACAACACATTCCTGAGTAATCAGAGGAGGACGACTCCCAACACGTGAAAGAGGGAGAGTATAAAATAAGTGAAAGCTGTTTAGAACTCCCTGTAACGCCGAATTAGAGCGCAGCTCTTTAGGAGGAGGAGGGTAGGGTACTGAGGGTCACGTGACCTTGGTGGGGTCACGTGACCTCGGGGGAGGAGGGCCCACGTGGGGGGGTCACGTGACCCCTCCTCGAGGTCACGTGAATTTAGGGAGGGGGGTCATGTGACTTGGGGTTGTTACGTGACCTCGGAGGGGGGTCGCGTGACCTGGGGGGGTCTCGTGACCCCCAGAGAAAAGTTTCCGCTAGATTTAGCGGGGAAACTTTTCCCCTAAATTTAGCGGGTAAATTTACCCATAATGCACCGCGCGGTTACGCCGACTGTGACGGCGACGCCGCTCAAGCCGAAACGGGCGCCTAACCGCCCATTCACACTGGAAGCGGATCCGCGTTCGCAAAGCGGTTGCGAACGCCGTTGTATAGACGCTTTGCAGCAGGTGTGCATGGACGCCGCCATAACTGACCTTCAGTTTTTGTTTCCTTTTATTTCGTTTATTTCACTTCATCATTACTATAGCAGGGCAGGTTATTGCCACATTAGATTCAACTGTGTCCTTTTCTAAAGCATCGGCCTTTGTAGGGGATCGTCAACTACCGTTTCAGTTGCTCGGCATCTCGGTAAGACAAGAGAAGGTCAGCAATGGCGGCTGTAATTTGGCGCGTGTGTGAAGAGTCTATAAAGATCCAGTACAATTGCAGGCGCACTTGATGTCATCGAGTGCGCGTGCAATTGCACTGCATCTTTATGCAACCGCGTTCGCAACCGCTTTGTGAACGCGGATCCGCTTTCAGTGTGAATGAGCAGTAAGAGCTGCGTCCTAAAAGGTCGCTCTCAGATTGTTCTCTGAGCTGCCACCGACGCCGCAGGTTGTACTGTCCGCTGTGGCGGTGAGGGGAGACCTTGAACGACGCTGTCGGCAACTTCAGTGCGATTTTGCGACAAGTGCTTCACCCTGGTTGTGGAATCTCTTTAGAACGGTAACATAGGTTGGTAATTAAAAACAGCGAGAACACGACGAAGCAGAAGAGGAGAAGTAGACAGACAGAGCGCTGACTCTAAAGTGAACGCTATTGAGAAGCAACGCATAAAATCTCCTCCAATTAATAGGACGCAATCTACTTTGTCATGCGCTATGCCTATCATACACGTGCCCCCAGAAACGCCAGTTTTTTTATGGAACAGAGCGGTCGAGGACACTCTCCGCAAAAAGAGGTTCTTCCCGGCAGGCGACACCACTTTGGAGCGTGACCGTGCAATAGCTTCTAAGTTAGCGTGGCTGTCGCCCTGAATGGTGAACGTGAGCTCAGGAGGCAGACGCAGAGCCCAAACTTGGCCGCTGTTTGAGCATTGGGCGGTAACTCTAATCAGTGACTACACGAGTCTCAGCCGCACGCTGACGCACGTCTCCCAGCGCGCTGAAAAAATGGCGCCATGCATTTCATGCTGTCGGTGTCGTCAAGAGGGAAACTTCAATACAATGATTCGCCCCACGTTTCTTTCACTATAAATGTGCTTTACAATGACCTAACTACCGCCTTTTTTTCTTGTTCGGCTGACCCCAGAACTTCCCTCCGGAGATGCTGTCCTGCGTGCTGGTCCTCGAGCAGGCGCTGTCCGTTCGCGCCCTCCAGGAGATGGTCACAGCCGCAAACTCCGACACGGTACTCTCCAACTTCTTTCACCCACCTATACTATAAGCGAAGAAAGTCCTTTGTAATCGAGCAATTTAAAGCTGTTTCACGCATTTGTGTTCGATTATGATCGATTGCGTTGCAAACTCATAACCACTGGCGCCTTTACGGGTAAGCACTTTCGATCGGCCAAAATATTTTATAATTTTTATATGGATTTCTTTGAAGCGAAAAATAGGGCTTTAACCAGAAGTTTATTAAACATTTACGCGACGTTTCGGGACCAGTTCGGTCCTTTGTTCACTTTTCGGGACCGAACTGGTCCCGAAACTTCGAGTAAATGTTCATTAAATTTTTGGTTAGAGTCAATATTTTTCGCTTCATGTCTATTCCTAACCAGGCAGAGGGCTGCCGAACGTTTACCTTCAAAATGGATTTCTTTCGGCAGTCAGGTGGAGCATTACCCAGACAACCACCTAATAAAAAAAAGTAAAAAATAAATAAATTGGCAATAATAATTTCTGGGGAAGGGATTATCCTTGTCCATCCTTAGCCGATCCAAAATGCTGGACTCAGAGCGCTCTGACGTTCTTCGGTCAGACACGGGAGGAGAAGTTCTCGACATTGGTGATAGATAAAAACAAATTTCTACAGCGTACGATGGATGCTTGAGCAAGAACGTCTTTGAAGGGCTAGTATCTCCTGCAATGCGGTCTGTTGAAAAAAAAAAAATCCACGGCATATGCGCTTTGATTATTACAAAAATAAACTCACACCGATCTTTGGAAATAGTTTTTAAGTCGTCAGATTTTCTACAGTGAACGCGATGTGATAGCGGGCACTCGATGCGATATCGGTCATGGCCGCGGGAGAACGGGCAAATATTAAATGCTTAATAATCTGCATTTTTCTCTCAGCAGAATATCGTGCAAGCATCAGCCACAAGAAATCTGTCGCCATGGGGCACGAACCACAGTGAATAATAGCCGGTCCTAATTTAATTTTACGACGCATATCAATTAACACACTTTTGGCAAACCTGAAAATGCCTCGAAATGCCCACAAAACCGGTAAAGCAGCCACGAGCTCTGCGAGTTTGCCTCATCGGTTGGACTTAGCGAAACCATGGCCGTCAAATGAACGATATCCTAAAAGCTGGAAGTGGGAATACTCATGCCGGTATTTTAAGTCACAGTCACGAGCGAATGTCGTCCCGCCCGTTGAAATCCTCGCATCATCCAATACACAAGTGCTTTATAGAACAAGATTTGCACCGCCGTCTTGCCGCACCCCCCAGACTACTGCCTGCCCAATCATTAAGAAAACCACGTGACCACTGTCCACGTACTTCGGTATGCCTGCGCCGCTCCACCCTCCCGATGTTCAATCAAGGGAGCGCTACGCAGCGCGCCCATGGTCTGGCCGATCAGGTGACCGCAGTCTTTCCACCACCCTATCTCGCGCGCTCTGGGAAAAGCGCTCGAGAGCTCGCAGAAAGCACCACGCAAATACAGCAATCTCACGGCCAGTTTCAGTTCACCACCGCTGCCGCCATTCATTGTGAGAGCTGTATAGTCTTTCTACACGCGCGACAACGCCGCCGAGAGTCTGCGCGAGCTGTCTCGTGAACTGGTGCCCACCTCCTACGAACTAAAATTATGGCGGCGTTACGCGTGTGTGGAGCCTTTAGTGACAATGGTCTATTGGCTATCAGTAAGAAGAGACTTTAATAACTGCAGAGCAGCCGTTCAAGGCCTGCGCCTGGTTTTAAGCGGTCCGAAAATTGTGTGCTGGTCCACTGGTGCAGCTAGCCTGGAAATCGTCCTTCGCAGTGCTGAGCACTGCTGTACGAATTTCAAAAACGTGCTAATTATATAGATATTTTTTCGTGAAAACGGTAGTTTAAAATGGGAGGGGGTGAGGAGGAGAGGAGGAGAGAAGGGTGGCGGGGGCCGAATTACAGAACGTCAAATTGCGGCGCTTTAGAACCACCATAACAAAATGGAATTACGCTAGCTGCTTCATTGCATTCCATGAGACATGCGCTTATGTTATTTCTTCATCCGCACAGGGCAAAGGCACCCAATCCGGCCACCGAACCCTCCTCTATGGACACGCAGTGCTGCTCAGGCATCAAAACAGCAACATGGTAAGACAACCTTCAATTATTTTTCTTTCTTTTCGCTTTTTCCTTTGGGGGGGGGGGGGGGGGGGGGGGGGTAGCAAAATGTTTGTTTTTCGCAGGATCTGAGAGAGAGGAGGTGCTAATGACAAGGAGACAAATCGCCGGGCGACTTTAGGATATTTTAGAGATGCTGTTCCTGAAGCATTGGCGCACCTTTGGTTTAGATGAGGATACGTGGCTGTATAACTTACCATGATTTGCTAACATGTCTCGCACGAGATGACATGCATTCGAACATCTGACGTAGATGTAGATTATCAGTGACTTTCTGCTCGCCCAAGACCGGTTCAGACATCTGCAATGAGCGTATTAGCTACGACAGTGTACTTTGTGACCGGAGCGACTGGAACGACCCCTCTGCGCCATACGTATACGCTCCGTCAACCGCTGTAAAAAGCGCCTTAACTGCGGCAAACATTGTAGTCGTCAGCATGGCGGCCGCTTGTCCGCCGTCGTCAGCTGTTTTCGCGGTGCCTCTAACACGAAGGGGACGTACTGTCACTCACAGGTGTATCAGAAGACGGACAGTTTTTAATAGCCACTAGCTTTATATATTTTAATTTTTCCAGGATAAGACTCGAAGGGCTGAGAGGGTGAAAAAACGAAAGAAAGATTTGCTGTAGGCTGTCTTGGATGTTGGACCTACACTACCTTAACACATGACTTTACCAATAGTGCAAATCTCGCCACACGCTTTTTAATGATTACAGAAGACGCTGCATTTTTAGCAGCAATATGGTAACGTAGATATATTAGTTCGGGATCAAAAGAACGTTGCAAGCGTTCGGAAATGCTACTACTAATCGCTTTTCTGGGATGACGAAAGCATGAAAATTCGCATTCATTATATCCGTCTTGAAAAGCAGTACGCAACAGTTGTGCCTTGAATTTGAGCACACACATTGAGTCTGTAAAGTCCGGGCGATGTTCGAGGACACAAACGCTAAGAAAGGACAATTGGAACATTGGAGTCGAGGTGAACAAACACGATGTCGCGAGGGTTCCTGTTGTTTTGAGGCTACCCCCACGACACCACCACACGAGTTGATGAATCTTCTCTTCTAGGACGTGCTAGTTTATGATTGCGACACACTACATGAATTTAGCCAAGGATAACGCTATACGCGGAACAATGAGTTTCCACCAGACCGACCACGTTGGCGATCACCACCGACGTCATGTTTTTCAGCAGATAGCAGGAAGCACGACCGGCACGCAACACGCGTGGCCGAGCTCTCCTCCACTTGTGATTGGTTAGTCGGTGTGGTCGCTCGGTTCGTTGCCAAACGTAGCGGAAAGTTTAGCACGTCCCAACTCCTTGCGTTGCGAACGAACGCGAACGACATGGTGGTTTGACGCTTCGTTTCCGCGAAAACTCGTCGTTCCAACCGGTTGCATTCGTTCGTAGTCGAAGCGGTCGCTCTGAACGCAAGTGTGTGAACGGGCCTTCGAGCGCGTCATGGTGCCGAAAGTGGATTTCACTTGCGGCCATAGTTTAGTCTGTTCCCGCTCAGCGCGAGCTTCGATTAGCTCCCACAACGTTTCTGCAACCCGGATTGCACATCACCAAGATGGCGGTTTTTGGAAGCAATCTGTATTAATATTAACATATAGGATAAGTTTTCATATAAAGTGAAGCCTCAAAAAGCGTAACCGCAAGATTTCCTATTAAATATATTGGGGAAAGTGACATCACATGGCTTCATTTCACGCGACCTATAAGCGAATTCAGTTTCACCTCAAAATTTAGCGGAAACATTTACGTCACGTGAAATTCGATTTTCTTGCTAAATTTAGCTGCGAAAACTGATGTAACGTGGCGTGATGTCACGTGACCTATACGCAAATTAAGTTTCCCTACTAGATTTTGGGAAAAATGGACGTCAGGTGACCTAGATACGAATTCAGTTTACCCGCTCCGTTTAGGGGGAAATTGACACGTGAGAAGTGGAGTTAGCACGAATAACTCTAACGCTAACTCTAACTAACTCTATCTAACTCTAACCTTATAGCTAACTGACTCTCACTCAAACTCTAACTAATCTAACGAGCTCTAAATCTAACTCTAGCGCTAACTAACTATAATCCTGACTGACTAACTCGACCTCTAACCAAGACAAACTTACCTCTAACCCCAATAACTCCACTAAACACTTGGTTTAGCGCTATTGTTTTAGCAGTACTATACTCCGTTCACCCTTAAGCTAAGGCTAGAAGCTCTGCCTTCATGGCTAGCACGCTGGCTTCCGCAGTGCTTTGGTTACGCGTGCCTTCACACTGTGTGAGCAAGGGTAGAAAGCTCGCGCTGAAGGCGGAGCTTCTAGTCTCAGCTTAAGGGTGAATGGTGTATTGGCGGCGAAATGTTTTGGTGGCGCCCTCCTATGGTTCCCTCTCGTGACGCCCTACCTCCCGAACAGCAAGTTCGATGGTGCTTGCAATGAGCATGGTGGAAGCTTGAAATCATTGCGCTCTGAAACCAACACTGCCAACGCAGCCAACCTTGAAGTTCTTATGGCATTACTCTTATTTCCGTCAATAAAGGCTCGTTCCCACAGCACCGCTTTTTTACGTTACGTTACGAAAAGTCACCGGCAAATCTGTGCTTCGTATTAAGCGTGGCTACCAATTCAGGAAGATAGCCTGGCACCCGACATTCGAGACACGAATGCTTCGGTGCCGACGAGCTAGGACGGTGAGTTACCGCGGCAACCGCGGACACAAGGCTCGTCGTAATGTAACGTAAGGAGTTGAGCTCGGTTCAACTTTTCCCACAGCATTGTTTTCTAATGTTACGTCTAAACCACAGAAGCATTCGTGTCTCGCATGTCGCGTGCCAGACTATGTCCTTGAATTAGTAGCCACGCTTCATACGAAGCACAGATTTCCCTTTGACTTTTCGCAACGTAACGTAAGAAAACGGAGCAGTGTGAACCAGCCTTAAGAAATATTTTGCTGAGGTCATAGTCAGCATTCGGCCAATTCTAGAAGGTCGATCACAGCGACGCTCTCGATCGCTGACGTCACCGATAGCACTAAACCTAGAACGTTTCAGGTAGCAACATCCTGGACCGATCTCACCAAGTGCTCGGCGCATGCGTGACGCCCCCATAAATTTAGTTCACAGGAGATAGGCGTCAGTTGTCGAGACGCTTCGTGCCCCGTCTCATGCCCTGCACGCACATTCCTTCAGCGGGATTGTCCCACGTGCAGAAAGACCAAAGTCCGCTCGATGCATTGCGACAGCGGAGGCGTAACGAAACCGGCTGGTGATATTGGCCTATTGAAGGGAAATCTGCGACACATGTTCGCTTACAGATGTTTGATATCTACGAGTCAAAGCAATAAAACAGCCGTAGCATATTGACTGATCGGAACTGCTCTTGCGACTAGGGCAGTCGCACGTTTTGCGATACCACGGTACGAATTTTGCGTCACACGATGATCATGCAGCTGATTACGAGGGTCTGTCATGCTCGAGTCGGTAGTTTAGGTTTCGCCGTAGACTTCCGAGCCAAAACTTTGATATATGATATCTACGAAACTACACAAAGCATAAAAAGCAACAAGAAACTGACGCCTCGTATTTCGGGGACACATCATTCTCAAAAGAAGCCGAAAACCTAAAATTTATAAAATGTACCGCAGTTAACCTTTAATTTACGTTGTAAATACGTTCCTTTTCTTTTGTAATATACGTAACATACGCCTGCATAACTCGCGAGTGCACAAAAGGAGAGCGCCGACGGGAGAGCGCGTAAGCGCTCTTCCGTCGGCGCTCTCCGACACGAGAGGGTGCAATCAGTTGAGCACGCGTCACGAGAGCCAATGTGCGCGCTGGGGAAACTTTCGAGGGTGGTATTGGCGACTAGTCGCGGTGAGAAGCTCGCCAGGGGCGCTTCTGTTTTCCACACTTGGGGTAGTGTACGTGCTACCCTCGTGGTCATGTGTTAATTTTCATAGTACATAGAAGCTTTGCAATGCACGTGGTTGCACCATCAGAGGAAGTTGAAGTACCCTCACTCTGGGTTGTGGAAAAATCCCACCAGGCGGAAATCCCCAAAATTTCTCACCGCGAATAGCTACCGAAGGTGACACTATACTCCGTTCATCCTTAAGCTGAAACTGCACCCAATGCCACAAGCACGAAAGTGCGAGGTCGCTGCTTTGAAAACTTCAGCCACAAAGCGAGCACTCGCGCTAGAGATGCACGTCTCAAAGCTAGGATCACAGGTTAGCTCCCGCTTGTCGCTTTGGCTGCAGTCTGAGCTTAAGGGTGAACCTAGTATGGAGCGATGTGGAGTCACGTCTACATTGCGTCATTAAATGAAAGCTTTTCCCCTACAGTACCTGGCCTGTCTTTCAAGCAGCTCGTACAACGACAAGCTCGCCTTTGACGTGGGGCTCCAAGATCATTCGCAGGGTGAGCATTATTTCTGGTTTTTACATTTCATGAGAACAGTAACTCTCTTCCGGACTAGCTGCCGATATTTGCGCGAAAAAGTATAGAGGGCGTTTTTAATCTCGGAAGAAAAATATTGTTTAAAAAATGAAACTGTATATAAAAAATTATTCACCCAAGATAGTGTTATTGATTACGACGGGTGTCAGATGAAGAAAGGGGAGTTATAATTATTAAATTAACCTAGAACCCATTAATTACCTTTGCACTATTTGCTTCAGGTGGTGCATTCAAATAAAAAAATATTGTTGCACGTCGTCAAATTATCTCATAGCACTTGTCGAAATTCCTGTCTGATGTGCGCCCTGCCTAAATATGAACACAAAAAAAAGCTCCGCAAGCTGCGTGCCCGAGGAGACAGAAGAGAAGGCCAAAGGCATCACGTGATTCCTTATTCGCACAGGTTGTCCTAAACCTAAAGAAAAACTACCGGGCGATACGAGGTTCCTGTTGCATTTTCGGCGCCTAGTATAGTTAGCGCTATTATGTCCCCGAATTATCGGCAGGAGGGGAGGAAAAAAACTAATTATCTTTAAAGGCCAAAATAAATACTCTGAGTGTGCTCTTGGAGTGGTATATGAAGTACCCCTTCAGCTGTGGAAGAGTATACATTGATCGGGCCGGCAGGTTTGTAAATAACATAGCGCGTGAGCATGCTCCGTCGCTCCAATCGACCTCAGGGGTCACTCGTCCTTTGCACTGTGGCACATGAAGTTTCCAGCGAAATGTTGACACCCAACCAAAAAAAAAAAACGGTTCAGAAATAAACCGGACCGAATCCGGAATTTCAGTCCGTCATATGGGCCCCTAAGCAAACCGCATTTCTAGAAACCGTAAATTGAACCGGAAATACCCAGTCCGGAAACCCAACCGTAATTGGTTGAAACTGAAGCTGAACCGTATTTGGCCAATCCGTAGAGCTTCACCGGAGTGGGTCTAACCGTATATTTAACCGTATCCAGCAACACCGGAATATAATAGAAATAGTTTAATAGAGTGACATACCTACTCTGTTTCACCTTCCAATGTACTGTAGCTGACGCTACAAGCCATCTCTTACAAAAACGTCATATCTGGACTTATAATAAAAAATACAGATATGGATATATAAGGTATTGGAAAGATATGGCCAGATATGCATAATCAGGCCGTATCTGGATGGATATAGTCAAATCTGCCCAATTCCTTATATACCTTATACAATCGTGTGCGCAACAAAGACGAGGACAAAAGCAGAGAAGAGGACACAACAAGGCGCAACTTTCAACTGAATTTTATTGAAAACGTGTTCCGGTATATATATCGTCTCAACCATCGTTACAATGACAACAAAAAAAAAAACACGATTGTATAAGATGTCAAACCAACTCGCCCAAACAACCACTCTTCTTCCTTATATACCATTTATAGAGGCCGTGTTTGGGCCTGGCAAATAGGGTACCCACCTTATGTAAAGCAATTTTCATGTGATGCTCCTTCTATCATCGCATGAAAATTATTTTCATGTGATGCTAGAATTATGGGGCAGGTACCATACTTTCCAGGTCCAGACATGAGGTAATATAATGCATTTCTACGAATATCCACAAAATATACATTTTACTGCTATCCCACACTGTCAAACGTGTGTTTACGTAGATACATCGACAGAATAGGCCTCTGACCAGTCTTTATTGGCCTGCTTCGGAATTTGGAATTCCTACAAATATGTATGCTACAAAGATAGAAGGCAGGCGATCGCTAGTTAGGAAACATAGTAACATATCATTAGACGTCGGAATGTCACTGCCCTTTGGCGGAATTGGTTGTCGAGGAAGCAGACAGAGAATATGGTTTGCAATATAAGTTTTATACATAAAAACGCCAAAACAAGCACTTCCGCTTTTCAAGAAAAAATGAGAAGAAACAAAATTGTAACATCACACGGACAACCATTAAAATAAACTAAAAATGTAATAGCACACAGACACATATTAAAATAAAACAAACGGAAGGCGACAATTAAACTGTAAATTATACAAAAGTTCCAAAATCGTTGATTGTTACTCACAGAGTCACAATCCTGATTGAACTTTCTGGTCGAGCACAGCAGTTTTGAGAAGGGCTTGCTTCCTAGCCTCGTCATTGAAGTCTGTCCTTGCATCGTGTGATGTTCAAAGTCCCCCAGTCGCTCCTCACAAGCCTTGTTTTTCCGTTCGGTCGCGAAATCACCCCTGTGACCAACACGTCGCACACACACACGCACAGACACCATTGTTCGCCGGAAGCAATACAAGATGAAAACGTCATTACTGCTCCTTGAACACGACGAGGTCACCACTGTTTCCCGGACTAGAAAATGACGAGGGCATCATATCTTTAACTACAAGTTTATAAAAGGAAAACATAAATAAATAATGAACACATAAGTAACAAAAACACGGACTAAGTCATGAGAAATAAAATTAAATAATGAACACACAAATAAAAAAATAAAAATACAAAGGACTTACACAGACAGCCACATTTGTTCGAATAACAATGACGTTTAAGTCTGATAAAAAAAAACATTCCTGCTGCGCTAAAAATCACAAATACGGTGTGTAAACTAGGCAACCTTGAGCAAAGCACGAATATTTGTGATCATAATCAAATGTCATTGCGAACTCAAAACGTGAGGCTGCCTGCCTAAGTCCTTCGTATTACTATTCTTCTGAAATCTGTGTTCATTATTGTGGCTGCTCACGACCAGGCGGAACTTGGTGGCGCTTTTTCCATTCTGACCTTACTTCGGACAGCTTTGTACCCATAGAAAGAAGCACTAGCTTCTCTATATGCTCCCACCCCTTCTCCTTGGAGATACCCTCCGTGTATGCTATAGTTGGAAGAAAAAAACACAATAATCACCACACATACACATTATTAGCTACATTGTTTTGTAATAGTTTTTCTAAATAGGCCCCAGGCCTAGGACAACACAATACTTTTTTTTTTTTTTTTGGGCGATGTAAAGTTTTGGCACAAACGATTTGGCCCGAATTTTGCTGAACATACCCTGTAAAACCTTAAAGTGCACCATTACAATTTCGGCGTACTTTACACAACCGTTGTGCTTCCTACGTGCATGACCTTTAAAAGCCAAATCCGCGAACACTTCACAATCATTGATGCTTATTAAGCGGTGTGCTTTATGTCGGGCCTTTAAGTGCAAAGCATCCAAAGTGCGTATCTGTCTCCCTTTGCACAGTATACAGAAGAGGGGATACTGCGGCCGGACTGCTGTTTTCACTCCTTGCGGCATATAGCTCAAGGATTCTCTAATTTTGCTCATGCAGGGCATTTCACCGCACAGAACGTACAAAGACAAGCTTGAAGGTCACACAAGCAGTCTAAAAAATCGATTACATCGCGTTTTTTTTTTTGCATCATAAAACGTTGTGTAATCATAATCATAACATGAATGGGACTACACAAGATTGCATTAAAGTTCCCAATTGGGTCTGTTTTATACCGCACAGTCACTGTCTGTACACAACTCAACCAGCTCTACACATTCCGCTCAGCACACCACCGCTAGGCTAAATCAGATAAGTGTCACTTTTGCCGAGCTTGAAGTACAGTCGTGATCTATACGGAGGTGAACAAGCAATCGTCGACTGCCCAGTACTGGGAGCATCATGCAGCAGCTGACTTGCTCTCCTTTTCAAATGCCTTGCGAACCGAGTGTGGTAAGTCGTCTGATAAGGAGAAAACGTCACCACGGATGGCAATGAGCAGTGTGTACTCACCTGTTTACCTTCATATGGATCGAGAGTTTACCTGGCCGAAGTAGCCAGTGGGTGTGCAACACATGGGTATTCATATTTTAACTTTCTCCATTCCATTTGCTGGATTGGGGGTATGGTGGCCAATTGTGTTAAAGCACCCCAGCTCGTAGCACGTGCGGTGAAAACTCACGCCGCAAAGCCCAGAGAAACTGACCTCGATTCTCGTCCCCACCCGTTTCGACCTGAACGAGCATGGTACCGGGTTCGGTCGTGCAGTCCTACTCTCTCAGAAACAGGGGGTGCACCCCTTGTCCCAAATGTAACACCCCAAAACTGCATTTCGTCGTTCCGGCCACTCACGTCGAGCTGGCGATACCAACTTTTGCGATCGGCTTGATAGCTGTTGAATATAACGTAGTAAATAGCTAATTTGCGTATAAAAGACTAGAAGAAAAAAATTACTGAGGTTTCGCAGCAGGTCCAAAAAGCCTTTATTGTCTTACTGTAGCCATTAATGAGTACATTAGCTGTTTTAATAAGTTGTGTCGCTCGACTACCAAGTCGCTCGTAAAAGTTGGTATCGCCAGCTTGACGTCGGTGGACAGAACGTTCAAATGTAGTTTTGGGGAGTTACATATGGGACAAGGGGTGTACCCCAGTACACCCCCTATTTCTTAGAGTGTAGTGCGTAATGGCACCTTAGTGACTCGCTAGCAGTCGTACAACGGTGCCTAAATTGTTCATCTACAGCGAAGAGAGCAGACGTCCACTGGGGCTGACTAACTTCCTGCCGTCTAAACAAACACACAACATCATTGCTGTTTTTTTTTCTATCGTTCGTATTTGCAATAAAGCGACCTATGCTTCGTTTCACTTTAAGTATAGACGCAGCCGATGGCACCAGCGAACGTTACTAGACCACTCAGTTGGGAAACTGCCATAGAGACTGCTCTGAAAAAGTGGCCCCGATCTGTCCTCGAGAACCGAGCTAATGGCGAGCACAACGCCGCCATTTCTCCCGCAGCGGCCACTCGAGGAGCTGCACGTGACTTCTATTTTGGCTTCAATCGGCCATTTCGGCGCCGAAACAGATACAGTGGGAAAGGTTACAAGAGTGCCACCCCCGTCTCCCCAGCGGACGCGCCGCGTATTACTACCGAAGTTAAAATGCACCTAGGTCGGGACGCGCTCCCTGAAGGCACCGCTGAGGCATGGTTGTATAAAAACATTATTAATTGCGCCGCAAAACGTTGCAAACTATAGATTTTAAAAACATCACGCGCCCTTCATTTTGTACTAAATTCCAAATAATTTCATACAAAAAAAGTTTTTTCCGTTTTTCTTTACGCAAAAATATGCTTTCTAAAAGCTCAAGGGGACCACAGTACAGACGAATGATAAAGAGTGGCGCTGTTGTCGTATTTAGTTTGGTCTCGGTGTACGCCAGCGGCCCACGTTTCGACGTCGAGTTTCCCAACTGAGTGTTTTAGTAACGTTGGCACCAGCTGATGAGACGAACCATACCGCGTGAAAAGGGCACTGTGTAGTGGGTGAGGATGTCGTTTGAATTGTGGAAGAGGTCTGGACATGTACATAAGGCGATGGTTTTTCAATAAAGTTCAAGCTGTGTTAGAGACCTCGTTGTTCTGTCCATTTTTTTGTTATTGCTCCTGCGTTTGAGGGTTACTGTGAATGCCATTCACCAGCTCGCCTGCGTTTTTGACATTTCTTCATCAACATGTTCATCATATTCTTGTTATATAATCGTATAACCATCCAATCGTGCACAAGGAAAGCATAGTGGCCTGCGCTTTTCACACTGATTGGTCCTGTCAGCTTGTAGCACGGCTGCGTCTGGACGCCTAGAGAAACAAGTATTTTTATAGGATGCCGCGTCGACCTTCGGTCTTGGCTTTGGTAACACCAGCGGCCAAGGAGAGGACTGCAGTCACGCACATGGCCTGGCGACCACCTTATTATCGCAGCCATTGAGGTTGCGGTATCAGCCGACGCTGAACAATAGAAGCGTGAAAAGAATAGGCCGCGCCTCGTGTTTCTGAAGCTGTCACCGGTTCGATTGGATGTACCGTGTGCCGCAGTGCTTGATCTGTGCTTACTCACCGAGGTCGGGTGTCATAATAGACGTCCTCTCACGATCGTAATTTCCAGGTAGGTCCTGGGGACCACAACGGGTTGACCCGACACTCGCATGACTGGCCACTGAGAACAAAATATCTAGCTACACAAGTCCGGCCTGGCGCTACATAATTTACCATAGTAGACCGTAGTACATGGGAGATTGCCGCGTGTGTCACAAAGCTTGTGTCAACCGTTATTTTATATAAAAATAAAAAAAAATAAAAACCTGAGGTGTTTAGGCCAACAATGACGCAATTTTCATTTTGAAAAAAAAGAAGAAAGTCGAGTCGTTTGACAGTAACAGCAACAGCATTTGGCTTTTTGCGGTACTGGCGGCATAGCAATCGTTCCCCGAGTGCCTCAACAAACCTCGGCATTTGAACTCGGTGAGCCTCACCCGAACTCTGTAAACAGATATAACTGAGCGGACTTCACGTGTGAGAGGGCAGTCGAGTGAACTTGGTGCAAAGTCAGAGAGCAATAAAAAAAAAAAAAAAAAAAAAAACATTTTGAGCGTTTTTCACTTTGTTCCAGGGGAAGCGTGCTGGTGGACCATCCACCCGGCGTCCAAGCAGAGATCCGAGGGCGAAAAGGTGCGGGTCGGAGATGACCTCATCCTCGTCAGCGTGGCCACGGAGCGCTACCTGGTGAGTAATCCGTGCGCCCCAATGGCTGGGTTCAAATCCGTCTTGTACAACTTGCTCAAAAAAGGTATCCGTTATAATTACCATTGCTCTGGGTTAAAAAGTATCAATTCGATGGCTTGATTACTTCTGGGGAAAAAGGTAATTGGCCGCAACTTGAAGAACTAACCGTTACTTTCCGATTACTGACAAAGCGTTCTGTCACTATCACTTGCAACATCAAAGAAACAAGATGCAACAAAGCTAGAAAAAGTGAGGAAAGAAAGCCTTTTTAAAAGAAATTCCGTCGGTTTTAAAGCAAGTTTTTGTATTGTCAACCTGAGAATTACAATCACCGGATTACAAACAACTAATTTTAATTCTCGCAGAACACCAACCGCTTAGCTTACATACCACAAAGTGGTCACTTTTTGTCACATGGTACCTTTGACATTTTGGGATTCTGGTTATCTTTCAATCACCAGAGTGGTTTAAACCAAATTTAGTAAAGAGGAAAGAATGGTGGAACTGTTTGAATGGCTATTAAAAATGCTACATTAGCCACGAATGCCGATAATGATCCAAGGAGAAAGTAAAAAAGGGGACAAAGACCAAACACAACTAAGTGACTGATGCGAGACAGAAAAAATCGGCCTGGTCCTGGTATAAAACTAGTCTCTGGATCGATTCCACTGGACAATAATAATGGTAATAATCCTTGGAGAAAGGCAACATGGAGGACATAGGACAAGCACAAACCTCCAAACACAGCCAGGACCAGGCGATTTGTTTTTTGAAATCGCGCACCAGTCACCTAGTTGTGGTTAGAGATTTTGTGTTTGTCCTTTGTCCCCCTTGTTGCCCTTCTTCAGAGATTATTATCGTTATTTCTTACCAGCTCTCTTGCACCTTTGCATTATTTGCATTATCTACATTCGCCATTTTACGGTAGTCGCCGTACATTCGGCAGCGATTAAAACATCTCAAATTACCCGCCGAAGCACTATGCCTTTTGCGAACTATTAACGGTATGTTCTCACTATGTTTCCCCTTATTGGGGCTACTTGTACTGTTTAAATTAAACGATCCGGGGAAGTGACACGCGCGAGATTGTTGCTTCGCATGTTGGCCGCTTAGGCGGTAGTGGTAATCTGAAAACCGGCTCGTCCGATTCAGGCTTTCAACGTTTCTCTGATTTGAATTAATAAGGTGAGAGCTTGCCATCCGATGAAGAAGCTCCGTAATGTAAATCATGTTCGGAATCTCAAGCCAGTGGAATGTCATGGAAGCGGTAACGCCAAAAGGAAACCGAATAGGAGAAAGGTGACAACGTTTTGCGTTCCATATTTCCATTTGATGGTTTTAAGCCTGAACAGCTTACAAGCACTGTACAAGCTCCGGCTAGATAGTTGAGTCAAAAACTTGTGTATTGATTGTTTATTTAATCTATTCCTCTGGAAACAAAGCCAGACCACTAAAAAACACCTTTCGATAAAAAAAAAAAAAAAAAAAAAAAATTCGACCAGCAAAGGGTTAATCATCGAACTTTGCGCTGAAAGGCTTTTGTAGAGACCTTGAATTGGACAGTCTCAGCTTGAAAGGAATCAAGCCAGAATGGAATCTGTCCGGGCAAAGAGTGTGATCTCCTTACGTGTCGGTCAGTAACAATCGTTTTATAATTTGTTCTTCTTAAGATTTAGGCGTTGATAAATTGAAAATATCGCAGCATTTTTAGTTCGAAATTTGGTGGCTACGCACTCGTAAACCCGGCAACCGAGGAGAAAGCGGGGAGAGGGGGGGGGGGGGAGGTGTTGAAATGGTGGTGATGGTTACAAGCAATTTTATAACTTCCAAAAATAATCACATTAGTCTTGCTACTATAACCTAACAAAAGTAACAAAATGCAAACAAATTATCAGAAAAATAATTGATTACACGTAATTTTATTCCTTCTAATGACTGGTCTGGTCTGAATATCTTGAAGTTGAACAAAATACCGCAGAAACCGTTTTTTAAAGAATCGCGCTAACATTTTGCACAAAGCTGGCCGAATATAATTCATTTTGTACACCAAACGTTTTAAAGGTGAACCTGATTTTGCTACCTATGGCGGTTAGGAAATGTCTGATTGGTGCGACCACGTGTGCGTATTAGCCGTCGGATGAGGCATGTAAGAACGTGTGAGCAAGCGTTGATAGCCAAAAGCAGACGATGTAGCTGAGTCAAATCCGGCACATGCTTTTTCAGTGTAGTGACTCATTTCGTAATTTTTACGCCCAAAGCAAGAAATAGACAGAAAACGATTCGTTGTGGGGCTATTTAATATTTTTTTTATTTCAAAATATTGCAAACCATGTCAAGGACTATGGCAGGAGGGGTGATACAAACATGGAAATCAAATACAACACTGCTAAACTCTTTGTTTTTCAGCTAAATGGACATTAGTGACTTAAAAGCGTGTGCGAGTAAGGTTTGTGCCGTACCGACGTGGCGTGGGCATTGCTCCGCTTCTTTTCAGCATACAGCTAAAGAAGGCGACAACGCTATCGTCAACGCCAGTTTCCACCTAACCCACTGGTCTGTTGCGCCGTTCGGGACCGGCGCTAGCAGGACGAAGAACGTCGGTGAGTATCTCTTTCGGTCATTCTTACGTCGTTTTTGGTCACCATGTATAAAAACTCCAACAACGGAACAATGCCTATATTCACCGTAAAGAACTGTCTGGGAAAGCATGGCGAAGAGGTTTCTGGGAGCACCGATTATTATATTTCCATGGTGTCCAGGGTATGTGTTCGGAGGAGAGGTGCTTCGGTTTTTCCACGGAGGCGACGAGTGCCTCACCATTCCACCAACATGGGGACAGGACCCGAGCCAGAAGTGAGTAGATCTGTGCGTGGATCAACGATATCAGGTCAACGGAGGGGGTATTCCCCTCTCCCCCTCAAGTCCGCCACTCGTCGTTTGATGCGCCATCTAGAGACTGCGATTCAAAACTGTATTCGTCAGAGATGTTACAGCGAGGCTCCACCAAAACGCTTTGCTCACACATGTGCAACTGTAGTCACCATAGCAGCGGTCACTCCCAAAAAACGTTGGCGCTTGGGACGACGGATCTTGAGGAAAGAAAGGGGGGCGGGGGTTGGCTTCTTGTGCGAGCGGCATCTCTCGGAGGCTTCGGAACTTACTTGATTCGAATATCGGAGCACTTTTCTGCGCAAAAGGTGGTTCGGGCGAGGCTTGAAGTAGGCCTAGCTTCTACAATTTACTTATGACAAATTGCGTTGGTAGGTTTTAAGCGATCCAAAACCGCTCCATGCTCGCGCGTTTAAAGCAGCGAGTGCTAGCGCGCGTTTGCAGGTGTATGAAGATACAATAAAAAAAAAAAGCGCTGCGTAAACGCTCCGAATTTATCAGCAGAATTTGCCATTAGAGAATTTTGATCAGTGAGCAGTCGACCATGGCGGGGGTACACGTCTTTTGGCCCTCCGCCCCTGTAACCGTGGCGTGACAGAACAACATGAAGTAATTAACGTGAGAGCTAATCGTCACCGAGCGTCTACTGACGTTAGTGCGAAGTCTGGTGATTATAACTTAGTTACGGGCTCGAGGTGGGCTTGTGGGTGCATAACTAGGATACGGCCCTTGAATGTGGGAGACGAAATACTTGGTTTATACGGAATGAATGGGGCTCTCTTGGATGAAAATAAAAGAAAAAGAAGATTTGTTCAAGAAGAGGAAAAAGCACTGAAATCACAGTTGGTAGTCTAGCAGTATATTCATACCCGTCTCTTTCTTCGGTCGCTGGTCTTTTTTTTTCGTTTTTCATCTTGCAAGTTTGAATTGGCACTAGTGTTCTTATTCTTTCTTTGATTCTCGTATTTTGACCAAACCGCTCTTTGTTCTTTGTCTGATAAAACAAAACTTTCAGCTACCGAAAAAAAACAAAAAAACTTTAACTGGAGAAAACAAAAATACACTAGTGATATGCGAGCTAGTTAAAAAAAAGTATGCGTCACCGTTCTACTATGGTCGGCTACTCATTTTATACAGTGTCTGTTTCTTAGAAGCAAGGTGAAATTTTTCGAAGCAAAACAAGTTAAAAACGTCCAGATATATAGGACGGATACGTGCTTATAAGGGGACGAGTTATAAAGCTCTCGATGTGGTGGGCGCAACCGCACCCGTGCCATTTTTCCCGCAGCATCATCGTGTACGAGGGCGGCGCCGTGCTCAATCAAGCCCGCTCGCTCTGGAGGCTGGAGCTCGTGCGCACCAAGTGAGTTGCCCTGAAGCCTCTGAGCCGCCATTATACTCTCTTTAAAGGGACACTGACGCTCCTCAAATTATTTTTAAAGATTTTTTCTCAGGCGATTTGTTATGGTGTCGGAAGACTACCTAATTAATATTTTGCTACAGAGTCACGTATATTTTTCATAAAGCCAAAAAACGCAAGTGCTTGAAACCGAAACCAAAACCTGCGCACGGAGGTCTGAGAACTATAGAGGATGCAGAGAGTAGCGGAAGTCACGAGGCTACACCCGACCGTGCAGTTTTTGTTTCCCTCCATACTTTTTGGCCGCGCGCAGCAGACGACATGTGTTGCGGGAACCGTTTTCCGTGCGATTCCTTTGAAGTTATGTTTGTTCCGCTCGCTGTTCTGCACTTCAAGATGAGTTGTTTGGTACATTAAAGAGCTGGAAATGAGTAGTGAGGGCCCGTGCTGAATTCCCGTGATTGGCTAAGAAAACATTACAGCCAAGATGTTGCGTAAAGTCTTGAAGGGCTTGTCATGTTAAATACGCCTCTACGGCAATTCCGCTAGCATAGCCTTCAAGCTCGAGCTCTTCGCTCAAGGATGCACGTCGGCTGCACGAACTCGCTCGCTCAGCAGGAACAACTGCCAAGGATAAAGGTATGGGCTCCGAATTCTCGTCTTAGAAAATATCTCCATTAAAATATCTCTCAGACTGCTACTAACAAAATCGCCGGAAATGCCAAAATTGTCGCATAAAGATGTTTTTGGGACATGTTAGATGGATTGTAAAAAGATTTTCCAAGTTCTTCCAAATGAAGACATCAATTCATCTTCAATGGTCATAAAACTCGGAGCAGGCATCGATACTTGTTTATTGGCTTCCAGTTTTGCAGAAAAAAAAAAAACAAGTTAAATACTCACGTCTGCTTTTCTCCGCGACTCGACCGGACTCGGCCACCAACATGTCAAATCACGCGGTCGTGACGTAAAGTATTCCTTTCTACCGGAAACGGAAGTTCTCCCAACTGAGCGTGGGAGCCTGGGAGCACATGGACCTATGCGCTCGTCAAAAATCAATCCGTCGACGAATGTTGTAAATCGATGTCGTGGCCAATGAGTGCCGTGACGACATTTATCATCGCTTGCGAATGACAATTTCCATTCTGTGCTTAAGAAGGGCGGTGTACGCTTGGAGTCATCGTACCGGTGCCCAAGGACTTCACGACCGCGTGATTTCTGATTTCGCTTTTGAGTTGAACAGGAAAGCTGAGGAGGAAGAAGTTGAAAAGTCATTTCACGGTCCCCTTAAGCCTTATTGCGTCAAGAGCGAATTCAAGAACGGAAGCAATGGCCTGCTTGCTCTCTTGTTCTATTAAAAATGCCAGCACGTTGGCGGAGCGATGCCATTTTAATTATTGTCATCCAATCAGGTAAGGTACTAAAGCCTAAAGCAGTCCTATAAGCAAATCAAAGCTAAAGATGTCAGTGGAAAAAATGCTAGTTGAAAAAAGCAGACAGTACGAGGTTACCTCCCTATAAAATATACCTCCCCCTCCCCCCCTTTACACTGACCCTCAAACTCTCGACGCTGAACTGCCTGGCCCCTTTGCCCCCCCCCCCCCCCCCCCTCCCCACCCTCTCACTTGAAATTAGTTCCTGCAAGCAGAGAATAAACAGTAGTACAAATAACAAAACAAAAACATATTCCCGCACTCACGCGAGTCGTATGAGTGGTCAGATTAAGTAAAGGTAACGAGAGAATTGTACATCTTATCATTCTATTTTCACTTTTTATTTTTATTATGTCGTTAGCTGCAAGTACTGTCTCAAGATAGCTCCTTCGTGTTATTTTATTTTTGCATGAAAGTCAGCTTTCCGGTAGTCTATAACATGAATGGATGTGTGCACGCATACGGCTGAGCCAGTGTTTTCAATTTCAGCATTTAATAAAAAATAATCCAATTCACAATCGCCTGTGACGCCTTTGAGAGCAACACCTAGAAGAAACACAATAGCTTCGCACAAATTGTCTAGATCCAGGAGACTTTTGGTCCATCTGCCTTTTTGTGCAGGTGGGCAGGCGGCTTCGTGAACTGGGGCTACCCACTGCGGATTCACCACATCACCACGGGGCAGTATTTGGCTTTCGGTGAAAACCGGGAGGTGTGCCTGGTGCCGCGCCAGAAGGCCACCGTGGCCGCCACAGCGTTCTGCCTCCGACAGACCAAGGTCTCGTCAGTGTACCGAGCTCCTGAACCTTGCCTTCGACATGGGGAAGCACTTGAATGTTAACAGCACACGAAAATTATTTTACACGGCGTATGAAGAGGAATCAGCGATATGACTGTAAATGTAGGCAGAGTGACACCCTGACATCACGTAACTCACGGTCTAAACACGTAGAGTCGCGTGCCGTAAGGCCACTTTACGTTGTGAACTGATAATCAGCGTTACCATACCTAATAACGTTTTCGACACCCTGCCGTCGGGGGACCTGGAGTGGCCTAACGTTCGTCATGTGTTATCTTGGCTCACCAAGGCACAGCACCAAACTTGCCAGGACGTTAGCCCGCTTCATTTAGCTGAAAACCTCACTTCCGCGTTGGTTTCGTCGGAACGGTGTCTACAGCGACGTTGACGCGACGGATAGGCTAACATAATCTTTGTTTATATTAAAATGCATACTGTATTAACGACGCAGCAGGGAAAGGGTAGCTTTCGGGTTTTACGTGTTGTCCGTGTTTAATACGCTATTTTTTTTTTCTTCTTGGAATGGAAAGGAGAGTTTGGCAACCTAATGAATCTTCAAAGTTACTAGATAGTTTCCCTCAGCTGTGCCTCCCAATGTCGGTTACCCGCCGTCCAGCACATCTAGCTCATTATCCGGTTGTTTCTTTGGTGCACGACCTGCACCGGATTTGGGCACATTTTTCAGAGGGAAGATTACCAGTGCTGACTGTGTGCGGAAAGAAGGGCAACACACCTGCGGATGGCCGCTTGACCTCTGACTCTGTCCCTCTCTCGACGACGCAGGACGACAAGAAAGTGGTGCTGGACGAGAAGGAGGAAGAGGTGCTAGGCTCGCCCCTCGTCAAGTACGGCGACACAACCGTCTTCCTGCAGCACCTAGAGACTGGGCTGTGGCTCTCATACAAGGTGACGCAAAATTTGTCTTACGTGTCCTAGCTTACCGTTGACATATAAACTAAAGATAGTTAGAAAACCTACGTAGTCGGCGAAAGGATTCGCTCATGAATTTCATTAAATTTCTGCAATCGGTGCACTGAAACCTAGAAGTATTTTTTAATGATTTCTTTGAAGCAGTGCTTCATAAAAGGCCAAACTACTTGACTGCGTTTCAATGCGCCTTATACTTCACCTGGCATTGTACCCTTAAACTCACCGTAGGCTCTGTTTCTTCCAGACCTACGAGACGAAAAAGAGGGGCGTGGGCAAAGTGGAAGAAAAACAGGTACGTTGAAATTATAAATGTTTTGTGGGCCGTGACTCACGAAATAGAGCGACAAAGAAAAGGAAACATCAAAACGTCCTTTCCCATTCGGGGAGTAATTGATTTATGTGGTGGCAGCAGGAGCGTTGTCTTTCCTGTCATTTTGAAATGAGCGCTGCCGCAGTGGGCGGTAGAGTTTAAAAAAATCATTTGTAGGTGTGGCCATCTGCTCCACAGAGAGATAGTTCCATTTGCCTTTTCTGAGGAAATGTTGGACAATTTAGTGAGAATTAAGCGATAACAGAGGCATTGTTGTTTTTATGTGTCTTCCTACCCCTGGTATTTATTCCATCGGCCATAATACTTAAGCCTAAGTTTTATATCACGCTTCGGTGTGAGCTTTAGTTTGTGTCTAGTCTTAAAGCGCTGTACGTCTTCCATTCCTGCACACGAGCAGCATCCGCATGTATCAGGCTACCACGCAAGTATTTATAAAGGAGGCTACTAGATCCTGTTTGCTATCGAACTTCCCATACACACTGTACAAAAAAAAAAACAAAAAAAAAACGTTCAAAGCCGTGTTCGATTAGCCCAGCCGGCGCGTTAGCCCCGCGTTGCCTGCTAACTTTAGATTTGGAACAAAATCACTCATCAGGAGCCATGTGCTTTAAAAGGAAGTTTAACGTGTAGGGGTAATTTTGTTGATGACTTAGTGAATCAACTATAAAAATGTCGAGCGTGCTGAGGTACAACGTTTTGCAGGCAAGGCAAGAACTTGAAACGTGCTTTTGATACCTATAGCAGCACAACGGAAACGTGATTTTAAAGAAACACCAATTATTTTTTAACATCACAATAAACAGAACAGAATACATGTTTGAGGGTCACCTTAAGCAAGCCGGGTTGCCTAATCCGGGTAGAGTGACAATCTTCGCTGTGGCTAGCTGTCTGGTTCTTGCGCCGGAGACGAGGCTGCTTTCTTTGGCCGTTGACAACTAACTCAGTTGAAAGTGAGTGTTACTTATCTATAACGAACTGAATACTTTCGTGTCGAATAAAGATATGCAAATCAATGAGCATTGCGAAGGTTACTTCCCCGATACGGTGTTGGGAAGGGGGTGCTCAGGTGGTAGCTTAGAAAAGCTCGAAGTTGACTGACTCATGTGGTTAAATTCCAGTTATACTCTAAAAAAAGCCCGTGTGTCTGCTTTCCCGCACAACACTCGAAGCGCCAATCACCGCAACTTACGGAGGCACCTCAGCGAATGACGATGCCGAAACATATGTTCAGACAAAGAAACTCAGCCTGAGTTGTGACATTAAGCAATGCAAGCGTGACGTTTTGCATTGCTTAATGTCACAACTCAGACTGCGTTTTTTGGTCTAAACATATGTTTCGGCATCGTCATTCGCTGAGGTGCCTCCGTAAGTTGCGGTGATTGGCTCTCCGAGGGTTGTGCGGGAAAGCAGACGCACGGGCTTTTTTTAGAGTGTGCAAGGACCTCGGAGTGCCTTGACCGGGATTAATTACCGAACGTTAGCTCTCGAGTTACAAAACAAACTAAATTCAATAATTCATATTATGTCCCATAAACACCTACCTTCTGGCTGGGGAACCTCAAGGTATGGGACGGGGGAGGGGGGAAGTCATGAGCGACGATGATTAGACGAACCTACCCACCCAGTAGGACGAGAAGGAAGTGGATGAGGGATGCGTACATGAGTTTCTGTTCCGCGTTTACTGTACTGTTCGGTTGAATCCACTACAAAAAGGATTGGAGGCGTAACATGACTCGGACGTCGCGGATATCAGCCTCTCGCGTTTGCGTTGTCAGTATGGATCGGGCCGGATGTCTTGCGAGTCCACTGGGTGGTGTAAGCTTGCCATCTATACTATCGTCATCCTAGTTCTGGTTTGTAGCCGGTTCAGAGCAACCAGCTGCCATTCTCGAAGGCCGCGCGGGATCGGATGAGGATTGGGCGGTACAAGCGCAGTGAGGCGCGCCTTGCGTGCGGTTTTCTCGACGCACCTAATTTTCCAGAGATCGAAGTCGTCCTGCGGCATCTCTCGTTGAATGGACGAGGGGACCCGGCCTTGTAAGGACAATTTTTCTTGTAGTGCTGCCCTAGTGGCAGCGTTCTCCCGCTCGTTCCCAAGAGGCCCTTAGCAAAGAGAGGCCGTACTGCAAACGAAGTTGAAATATATTTAGTACGAATATTCATTTTGTATTTATTCTGTATTATTTTGGCCGCATTCGAAATACGCCCGTAAGGTATTCAAAATACATTATAAATATGAATCAAAAAATATTTTGAATATACCAAAAAAAATTATCCCTTAACACTCAAGATGCCATTTGTGCATTAAAAACCGGTTACACAATTTTTTTTTTATTTTCGATTTTGTCAGCAAATGGTGTTCCTGTGGTATTTGAAGGCACTACTAAATACATCCCACAAAGCTACAATAGAAACGAACACAAACACATACACCATGACGCACTGGACAGCTCATTCCATGTCCCGTTGACTGCTCTAGAGCCTTATGTAGCCTACATATTGAAGGTAATCATTTTTTCGGTGACCACCTCTGCGCTTATTAAGGTTCCAAGTATTCGATCTTCTCCTCGGGAGTCTGTCAAAGGGGAAAGAGTGTTTTGAAGTTCGTGGACGATATCTCTTAGTAAAAGGCATTGGTACAACTAATAACAATTCCGCGCAGTCCTTAAAACAATATCCCACAAACGGCTCATAAATTACATGTTATTGCTTCTCTGCGTAGCACCACTCAGGACGAAGCGAATCAAGGCAATATCTTCACTTTAAGATACTGTAAACGACTTTATTTTCGCGAGGACCTAATTCTCGCAAAGTTCGTGAATCGCCTACAATTTCGAAAAATAGGTCCCGTGAACAATTCCGGCAAAATGTAAAAACATTAAAATCTATAATGCGATCCCAGCGCGTCGCGAAAATTAGAATTTGCGAATTATTCCAAAACTCCAACTTTGACCTAAATCGCGAAATATTGAGCCCGCGAAAAAAAATATATTACAGTAGTTGTTTTGCCTTTCCATTTTAGTAGTTGACTATTTAGTATGGTAGTTAATATCACTATATTAAAGTCACTATTCGCATCACGTACAATGGTGAGTATACACGTTCATTGAACTAACATTGTGCTAACAAAACCACGCCAAACGTATCTGTTCACAGCACCTGCTGAAGCTTTCCAGCATCAGCAAATGTTGTGGTTGTAGTTCCCGAACCCCGTTTGTGATTGGTGTGCAAGGAACTGATCAGGTGTGTTCTTGATAGAAAAAAGGAAGCAATAACATAAACTGGGCTGTTTTATCAGTGCCATGCTCCGCAATTCAGTTGACAAACTAGTCAAATGTTATATTTAGGCGCTTCAGTGTACTCCATATACAATCTATAACACTATGGATCACTCATAATCTTATTTGGACAAAACAGCTTGATTACGTAACATCAAATGATCTTCGAAAGTTATTCTTTCTTAGAAGGACTCTAAGACTTTCTACCCCTTCCTTGCGTCTTCTAACCTACAAAGCCATAGTGTTGCCTACATTAGATTACGCGGCTATCATTTGGGATCCCTTCACCAAACTAAACATTAACAAGCTGGATCGTGTGCAGAAGAAGGCAGTTCGCTACATTTACAATAGCTTTGGACGTACCTCTATAACTGAACTTTTAACCAGAGCTAACTTAAAGTAGTTATCTCTCAGAAATCAGCATTCTCGACTAAAATTTTTGTACCAATTAATAAATGGACATCATAGGATAGATCTGTCTCATTTGATAAACTTCTCATCAGGCTACGCTACTCGACAGAGGCATGCGCTAACAATAACTCCTTTTCGATCGCATAATAATTGCTTCAAGTACTCTTTTTTTCCGCGAACAGTAGCTGATTGGAATAGCCTTTCTGAGAGTGTCGTTATGCAGCCATCATTGTCTTTATTTGAATCCCCTCTAAATTAGTTTTGTCCCTCTGAAAAATATTTGTTCTTTTGTTTCTGCAACTTGTTTGCTCTTTTGTATGCCTGCATGTCTTGACAATCAAGTGTATACCCACCTGCTAAAATCCCTTTCAGGGATTGCAGTATCAATAAATAAATAAAATAAATAAATAAAATATCTGCTTGAAGCGAACTTCTAGAAGGGGAGCTTTTCAATATTTTGGTAGTTTAAGTCAAACTACCAAAGTATTGCAGCCAAAAGGTACTTAGAGTATAAAACAACAGTATTTACAATTTTCAAGTATTTTAAGAGTATTCTGCACGTATTTTTGATTGCTCCATTTTTTTAGGGTTGGAGTATATTTTGCATGAATTAAATAAATATTTCAAGAAATATATGTGAAAGGTATTTTGTGCCTATTAATTTAGTATTTACATATTTCAAAACGCATGAAGGGAACTTCAAATGTAGTTTACGTAAAGGTATTTTAAAATGATTTTTAGAAGTATATTTTAGTACCGAGTAAAAAAAAATAAGTTTATATTTTCGGTCTATTTTTCGTGTACTTAAAATTATGAACTGTATTTCAAATACACTCAAATTAGAATGTGGTATATTTTAGACGTATTAGTTTTCGCTAAGGGCGCCCTCTTGGTCTGGGAGCCACGTACCGCTGATGTCTTGATTTGTCCTCGCCTGCCAGCACCAGTGCTCGATTATCCACAAAAATGGGGTTGCATGTGTCCTTCCGGCGTAATTCTCAGAGCATCTCGTCCGAATCCATAAAAACTCGCGCTTCCGTGATGCCGGTTCGCTTCTGAGTAGCTTCCCGCACCATCCTCAGGATCGCCCCTAGTTCCCCGCAGCAGACGCTCCAGGTGGGTTTTGTGAGCCATGTTGCGTGTCGTGCCTTCTGGGGGGGGGGGGGGGGGGGGGGGGGGGGGGGGGGGGGGCCAGGCAACGGCCGTGCTGCCGGTCTTGGAGCGCACCTTGTCGGTGTAAACCACCTCCATATTCCCTCCCAGCCCGCCGAC